ATATATGGTGGTCCATAGCTCTCATTCATACAGCAACAAAAACAAGCCCCATCTCCCTGAAACAGCTGGACTAGTGCATCCTAAATTTAACATCCATTCATTCTTTTAATACAACAGTCATTTCTGCAGTTTTTGGGGAGGTCACCTCCTAATAAATGTCCTTACAGAAAATCTAACTGCTCATTTTAAATCTGTACTTTGACTTTTAATACTTAACTACAACAAATATCACATACTTTAACACTTTTAATACTTAACTACAACAAATATCACATACTTTAACACTTTTACTCAAGTATCACTGTGTGGTACTTGATACAACACTGAAGGAAAGTATGAGCAGAAGAATAAATATTAGGGGAGACTGGGGTAAGTTGTTACATCCCTTGTTGTAAGGAAACGGTAAACAAAGTTGATGAAGAGACAAATATTTAGGAGGCTGTCACTTCATGGAGTCTGTGAAGGTAAGAAGCACATGGGTAAAGTTGTTACATATTTATTTATGAAAAAACATTTTTCACTCTTGAAAGTGAATTTAGTCTATCATAAGTTTCATGAGAATTGTGTTTAGACCAAAATAAATTTTAAATTTGTTTTATACATCAACTGTGGTCTCTATGAGCTACAGCATGAGGTGTTAAACCTGCATAAACGTGAACCATTTTAGCTGTGGGGACTAATAATGTCAAAACAGTAGCTCTGGGGTAAATTGAGCAGGTGGTTCAACTTACCCCATACACTTAAGTGTATTTTGTCTGTGTCCTATATGTCTTAAATATTAAATGAACATTCTACATTTGTAGGATTACAGAGTGGACATCATGTATGTAAGGATAAAACAAGTAGGGGAGCCACCAGTGAAGTGGGAGAAGGGAAGTGTGTTGGAGCAGCAGGTAAGGAAGGCAAAATACACAGAATGACATTGAAGAGGTGAACTGACAAAAAAGAAAGTGTAGTTTGAAAAAGACAGGCTGTGACGGAGCAGCAGAGGATTCTCTCAGACAACATGGAGTCTGAACCAAACATTTTAAGAATCTCACAGACAGTTTCACGGCCTTACTACCCTCAAATGCAGAGAAGCTGCCTAGTTTTCAAAGTGAAACAACATCTGTGTGTCAGACAGCTGGTGAAGAGAAGAACGAGCAGGTAGTGTAAGAGATGCTGAACACAGAGATTTATCTAAATATGTAGGGTTCACTCCCATAACCACTGCCAACCAGCCAGCTAAGAAAATTCAAGCAACAAAGGCCACTGCCTTCAATGAACACAGTTAAATTCACAGAGTGTTGTGTAAAATCACTGTTATTTAGGGAGGGAGGGGGGAAGTAGGGGTGCCACAAGAACACTTCTTTTAGACATGCTATATAACTGAAACAGTTATGTTTACAGTCATTCTGTTTGTTGAATGGATGCACAACATCCTGAAACACATGCAGATATATTAGTTGGCAACAAAACGATGACTGCCTTGATGTAGTGATCCTAAATATGAAAAATGGTTCATCTTACCCCAGTCTCCCCTAAAGATTACCATAGTTTTGATCATAAAGACCCTTTAAAGGAAGGATTGAAAGAAGTGGTTCTAACCCGTGTTGTGACCCAACAGAACCCGAGTGGATGAACTGACCTCAGAGAACGGACCACAGCCTTCAACCTTCAGGTGCAGCAGCAGGGCCTCACATCTCTGAAAAACAGCCCAAAGCTTCAGAACCAAACAGAAACACTGGAGTCCACTGAAGTCTGATCAAAGTCTGACCCTCTGGTCCTGCACGCTGAGCTGGGCGGGCTCTGGACCCGGCCTTCTGTCAGAGCTGTAGGGGTCTGAAGGGTCCGTCAAGTCCTGACACAATGAACAGATCCAGTCTGACCTGCAAGACAAAGAGGAGGGAGGCAGGGCAACAAGGGTCATCATCCAGTCCAGTCCCCTTTCCTAAGCCCTCCACCTGGACCCACCTCTGCCCTGTGTTAGCACAACGCCCCCTTTTCCTCTGGGCTCACTTAATGCTCTTTTTTCCTGTTTTCAACACAGCTGCAAAACACAATATCACCATTTTTTCTCTTCAACTTAAACAACAGGTTTTAAGGACAAACTTTTAAATCAAACTGTTTCATCCTGAAATAAAACAAGTATAAAAGGGTTTAAAGTAAATAGGAGATGCAGGTGACAGTTTTGTTGGATGCATTAATTTTTAAGTAATTAATAATTATTTTGATAAATAAGAATTGATGGAATAAGGTTGTAGGAGAAGAGGTGAGCTAATATAAATATACTTCTGCCCACTCCTTTTGACTGTATGAAAACTGTGACTGGGTGCTCTGTACAAGACAGGCTTATTTTATCTGATCTTAAAACTGTATATCTAATGTTTCTGTTACCTTCTGTTATGGTCAATAAAAATTATTAAACCTTAATACATATAACTTATTTAAACAACTACAACATTTCATCACGGTGGATTTCATTAAGACGTTTCTTAAAGAGTAACTTACCCCAAAATTAACTTTTTTTAGCTGATAAACTGTCTAGAATGTGTCTAAAATGTTATATAGT